CGATTTTGTCAGTGACGGTACAAAGATTTAGAAAAATCAAGTTGTATTGTGCATGTATTTTGTTGGAAAACCTAAATAAATAAAAGCGAACCGTTCGTTCAAAACGAGGGTATTTAAAAATTTATAGGAAAATTAGCTGACCCGGCAGACTTCGTAGTGCCTCAATCGACAAATAAAAGACCTAAACTTTTGTATAAAATAAACCTAAAACAAACAAAAGGAATCCGTCCGACGGGGGACACATCACAGGAAAAACAAAATTGTTATTTTTATTTAATTCCGAGCATTTTCGTATTTATGTACCTTTTAAAGCTTCTCTGGACTTCCACAAATAATTCAAGACCAAAATTAGCCAAATCGGTCCAGCCGTTCTCGAGTTTTAGCGAGACTAACTAACAGCAATTCATTTTTATATATATAGATTAATTCCCAAACCAGCAGTACTTTTGTTATTCGGTATAAAATTAAGTCATTCTATATTTTTAAGTACTCCACTTACATCAACCAGCTTTGTACTTACTCAGACATTTCGCGAGATCTTTACAGTAAGTACAGTTCAATTTTTTTATCTTGCGTTCGAGGTTGTGTATTACAAGAAGTTCCTTTGTATTTCCAACTTTTTCTAAATAAGAATCCCTTCAACGGCTTTATACAGACACGAGGCAATGAATGTTTTTGGGAGTATGTATATAAATACGCGCTATATTTTATGTGTTCTTATTGTACGAATTATTTCAATGAATAATCTATGAATACAATTTTACTGATACTCGTAAAAGAACTCATAGTAATTAAAGTAAAACAACAAACAACCGTCAACACTCATATATACACATGTTATTGCAAGGAAGTATTCAAAAGAAACCGAGGTAATTTAATTATAAAGAAATTAAAACTTTTCCATCTTCGCGAAGGAAATATTGTTTAATTTTGTTTTCATGACCAAATAAAGTGTTCACGTGTTCGATCTTTTTTATACTGAATAGGTAATAAATCATGTCACATGTACGTACAAAAATAGCTATATATCATACGATAACTTCGTTGGAACGGTCGCAGTAAATTGTAGTTATCTTCGAACCTATTACGACGGTAAATCTTCTAGGATATCTGAAATCCGAAATCGGGTAATATCTACACTAATATAGTAAACATTATATGATACAAAAGTAACTGTCTGTTTGTTACGACTTCGTTTATTTATTTATTCTATATATGTTATGTACATGACTATGTTTTCATTGATGTACTTTGTCATGTAATAATATAAATATTACACTATATCGTAATAATTTTTTTTTTCCTTTTTTTTCTTCCTTAGATTGGGGGACGAACTCACCTGGTATTATTAAGTGGCTATTAATAGAGCTCATAGTACAATTGCTGCTCCATCCTTCAAACCGAAACTGCTTCAAGGCCTTTAGATACATAGCTTTATTTTATATTTTATACGTTAGAACAATGATTAGCTTTCTCCTAATTGAAAAATAAGAACTCATCATTTTTGGAGGATAGTGGAGATAACACAAAAAATTAAAATAAAATAAAATGTATTTAAATATAATTATAATTTTATTTTGGATTGCTTTAAAAGAAATCGACTATTTAGGTTTTTGGGGTGAGATATTATGCTTTGTTTTTTATTTAATTTCTTACAATAAAATAGAAAGTAGAATTACATCATAAGAAGTCTTTCTGATCAAATATTTTCACTATTCCTCGCAGACTCCCTGAGACTTGATAGATCGCTCATTCTCTTATGATGTTTGCATTAGAGAGAGATAAATATAGAAAAATTACAATATAAGTCCATGCTAAAAATCGGAAATGAATTTTTGGCGTTCAAAGCGATGGAATTCGATCGTAATTTCTTATACAGTTCTGGTCTATTCAATTCAATATTGAGGTTCGACAGTAATGATAATAAGAATCAGTTAGAAAACATTTTTTGTGACATCTGTTTATTGCTAGCCCACGGCTCAACTGATGATAATGGCTACCAGAGCCCATTGACATCAACAACGTAAATACCGACACCCACCTTGAGACATATTTTCAAGTTTTGTTATAGTATAAAGGCTGCCCTACCTTTGAAACCGGTCCGCATTACTGCTGTGCGGCAAAAATAGGCAGGATGGTGATAATTATTGATGCAAGCTCAATAGACGCCTTACCGCCGTTAGATAAGTAACATTTGTGGAACGAGTGAAAATCATTCGCTAGAAGAAAGTACACGACTTTAATTGAAAATAAAAAAACTCAATCGAGATCTAGGTCGACAGCGAGGTTTCATCTTACTAGAGACACGAGACTTCATTTCTATTTCCCAATAAGGTAAGTGGCACACACTTCGTTTTTTATTGATATACATGCGAAGACCAACTCGGGCTCACATGGAATTAAGCATTTATTAAACCTCATACACTGAATGTCTATCTACGGTGATACACTGACGGAATGAATATCTTAGAGGAAGTCTGAAAGACCTGTGACAGAGAAGTTGCGAAGTACGCGTTTGGGATGGGTTTTTTTTAGGATTGAAGGATTACTTGGGGCCCGGAGGCCTTTACAGTTTCACCAGGACAGGTGGGCGAGCAAAGGCTCAGTCAGGAGGGGTGGGATTTGCTAACAGCTGCCCGAGCGCCTCCGAAGGAGACCTAACAACTCAAGAGCAGCTGATTTGGATGGTATGGACATGCGGTGAGACGAAATGAAAATGAGGTTGGTAAGAGAGTGTTAACTATGAATGTGGAAGGATATAGAGGAAGAGGTAGACCTTAAAAGAAATGGATGCATTGCGTGTAAGACGATATGTGTAAGAAGGGTGTGAGCGAAGAAATGGTATATGATAGAAAAGTATGGAGGGAGAAAACATGTTGCGCCGACCCCAGGTGACTGGGAGAAAGGCAGGAAAATGATGATGACACTGATCTACCATACGCGTGTATACCATCATCTTACCGATTATTGCTAGGAAGCTTTCGTCTATTCCGGTGGTGAAGTTAGATAGCCAAGCCAAATAATTCCGCTGGGACTTCGTTTTGTGGTAACCCGCAAAATTATAATTTGCGTAATTACTGGCAGTAGGACGTCTTGTGAGTCCGCGCGGGTAGGTACCACCGCCCTGCCTATTTCTGCCGTGATGCAGTAATGCGTTTCTGTTTCAAGGGTGGGGCAGCCATTGTAACTATACTTGAGACCTTAGAACTTATATCTCAAGGTGGGTGGCGCATTTACGTTGTAGATGTCTATGGGCTCCAGTAACCACTTAAAACCAGGTGGGCTGTGAGCTCGTTCATCCATTCAGCAATTAATTTAAAAAAAAAGTAGCCGTAACAACAGCGAAGTCTGTCCCTATAGAACAATAAAAAAGTATTCCTAATTATTATTAAGCATTCTTCAATACATGTATGATACGGATGATAATATTTTTGTTTTATTTCCCTTGAACTTTTTATTGACCATGAATCATTTAGTTGATATTATTAGTAAACAAATTTAGTTCGACATTCAAAGTTCACGCCTAATCACGAAAGTTATACGATTCAAAATCATACAGACTTGAGTAATTAGAGCGAAAAATAATTTGATATTAATGACAATAATTGACAACAGTTACGAATGATATAAAATCGAAGCAACAGAAAGGTCAAGTGTTAATTTTAACTTTTGTACAGAGTTGAACGATTTATCGGCGTTTTGATACATTTGGGTCATGAATATATTCATTATCTTGATTAGCTTATTTTGTGCTGGAAACCTAATTTTCTATTTGTGTTAACAGGTCGTTGGTACAACAACAGTATTTATTCCGATATTGCGGTAGGCAGCGGCTTGGCTCTGCCCTTGGCATTGCTGAAGTCCATGGGCGACGGTAACCACTCACCATCAGGTGGGCCGTATGCTCGTCTGCCTACAAAGGCAATAAAAAAATAAAAAAAATTATGAAGTAAAAACAAGAGTGAATGCTTTTTTCATTTCATATATAAAATTTAAGGAATTGTATTTGCGTGCATGCAAATTGTTACACCCACGTCACTCACTATCTACAGTACAATGTTCATCTTCTCTGGAAAAGTGACTGGCGATATTTAGCAAAAATTTATCAAAAAAAAAGTAAATTCTCATTTGTAATAAACCCTATTCGTAATTAGTATGTACTTAAATTAATTGTGTACGTAAATCACTTATGAGTATGGTGCATACCTTATTTTGACAAAAATTATAGGTATTAATTTTTTATATATATTATTATTTTTATTTTTTATTTTATTTATATTATTATTTTATATTAAGACAAAAAATTTAAACCTATAAAGTTTCTAAGCCAACGAAATCGTCACATTATTTTCTAAAACAAGATCGAAGCAAACAATTACTCTTGTTGTTTCTTTGTTTTCCAATGCAAATTTGTTGTCTAGTCTGTCTGGAGAAAGTTTAAAGTGAAACATGAATAGATTTATCGATCGAACTTATTCATTTGACTTGGCAAGTTGTGTCCGAATTCGTCGGGAACAATGAATCTTGTTCATATATTAGGTGACCTATTAATTATTATTGGGTCTAAGCAATCGTGAGCCTATAGACATCATTATATGTAGCCCAATAATTAAAGGCGAGCTAACATTAGCTAAAACTTTAAACTATTTTCCTTCAAATTAGACTCTAAATTTGCTTTAAAGCAAAAATAAGTAAGATGGTGGATAGCTATGAGGACTTTATACCCGCGCCACAAATAGCTTTCAATTTTAATAGTTCCGAAGGTACAAGCTTATCAACATCAATATCGTACTATCGTGAAATAAAATAGAGAAGAAAATAAGTAGAAATAATTATTCGAAGTCCTATTTCATTTTAATTAAATATTATTGTGAAGTTAATTAATTCGAAATTTATATTTTTAATATCCAAAAATTTTCACTTTGGATTTTTTTAACGATCACCTTGGAAAAGAATCGTAAAAACACACGTATTTAACACTCTGAGTATTCACAACAAACCTTTTGGCACAATTTAAAATCAACTTTTGATATTTAATTAATTTGTAGCGCGTAAAGGGACCCTTTGTGGGAACCGCGGATGGCACACGATCGAGCGTGCCGAGTGTCGGGACGCAAGTGCTACTCTGAACGCGGGGGCGGGAATCCTCCACTAACATAGAGCTTTTCTACCCCTCCCACCCCACTACTCCCCTCTACGCCCCCACATCTGATAACCTGCTACTTGGGAAGTCACTAAACTCCATCATGAATGTTACCAAGGCACCAAGACGCCTGTGAAAGAAAATGTGGATTTTATTGAAAAGGGGTCGATGTTACGTCTTTAACGTCGTTATGTGCGAAAATCGATGGTTCATAGTCGATTTGGTGTTGCAAACTAAACACGTGTTGTGGCGTAGAAAGTGTTGCGTACTAAAGGTTTTGTAAAGGCAGCCCTGTTACGTTTTGCGGTAATAAAACCCTTTTCATTGCTACAAAGTCGAGAGTTTCTTTTCTGAGGCATAGGCCTTTATTCTTGTACGCTCCAATTCGTTTTATAGTATCCGCCTCGTGTACTAAAGTGGAATTTGTTGTTCGTAGACATAGTACGGGAAAAAAAATGCGACGCACAAATATTGTTTCGCAAGCTTCTAAAAGCATAACCAATACAAGCATGGATATGATCTAGACAGGCAAATATAAAAATAGTTTTCACTTCATACAGAATAAATTTTTTTCGGGAAAAACTGAAAAAATTAACTGATCCCATTTTTGTTTGTTGATAACACCATCTTGCTCGTTAATTGCTACAAAGAAAATCGGTTAAGAAACAGAAAATAAAACTATTATTTTCCTTAACTAATATATTACATATTAAATTAAACTAAAACTATTATTAAATATATAAGACTTAAATTATTATTTAAAGTTTGCAGTTAATTATTAAGTTCTATAGAAGTCGTATAACTCGAAGAAGTAAACACAATGGTAAAAGAACCGCTAAGGAGAGTATCCGAAAAACAAGTTTTCAGTAAGCAGGTTTCAAGACAGAACAAAGAATTTGTACAGAAGACTAATATGAATATAATGTTTTGTGAATTATATTTACGAAAAATCTGGTGGTGGTATTATCCTGGTCGGTATAAATACGGTCAAGCAATGAAAAGAAAATTTAAATCTGTTAAAAAATAAGTAAATGAACAAACAAGTTATACTTCTACAAGAACAGACAGTACAGCAGTAGAACAAGAAGAGATAAGAGATTTAAATTCATATTAGACAGAGAGTCAATCATTTGTAACATTAACGTTGAAGTTCAAGAGTGTTATACGAATTCTATACTATTCCATGACAATGTAATAACTAATAACTATATTTTTATAAAAACTTGTCTAGAAGAGAGCTCTTAGCTATGAGACCGCCCACATTGTACTTTTCTATTAAAATTGTTTGCATTTGTGTTTATTTTGGGATACAATAAAGCATACTTTACTCTGTATATTGTTATGAATTCACCAATCCATCCCAAGACATGGAATTGAAGATCAAATTTTGTTGCATAACGGCTGTAACAGTAAGAGGCAGATGCCTAATAGTATAATAGGCAGAATGGTGGTGTCCATCCACATTTTTTGCATACAGCAATTAATAAGTCCTAACATGAAACGGCAGAAGCAGTAATGCGTTTCGGTTTGAAGGGCGGGGCAGCCGTTGTAACTATATTGAGACCTTAGAACTTATATCTCAAGGTGGGTGGCGCATTTACGTTGTAGATGTCTATGGGCTCCAGTAACCACTTAACATCAGGTGGGCTATAAGCTCGTCCATCCATATAAGCAATAAATAAAAAAAATATTATACAGGTTCGGTCTCTTATTGGCGGCAGTGCGGATTTCATGAGGCATATAGCTCAGCGGTACTTGAGAGCTACTTGTAAGCGCAAAGCAATTAACAGCGTTCTCGTATTTTAACGGTATTAAAAGTGGAAAATGGTTATTTTTTTATATGGATTTCTTCTCGGCAGCGTCGGATATACAGTACTGGTTATTTTCTTGTTCCTATCGTTTACTTTGAATACCATGAGTTTTTATTTTTTTTAATTTTTTTTATTGCCCTTGTAGGCATACGAGCATACGGCCCACCTGAGTGGTTACCGTCGCCCATGGACTTCAGCAATGCCAGGGGCAGAGCCAAGCCGCTGCCTACCGCTCAATACTCTCTACAAGCCTCGTTTGAAGAAGGACATGTCATAGCGCTCGGGAAACACCGTGGAAGGGAGCTCATTCCATAGCCGGATGGTACGTGGCAAATAAGACCTCTAGAAACGCACTGTGGATGACCGCAGTAGCTCCAAGTAGTATGGATGAACTCTACTCCGGTGGCGGGCGGTGCGATGGTAAAAACGAGATGCCGGTATCATCTCGAATAATTCCTGAGAGCACTCCCCATGGAACATACGGGACAAAATACAGAGGGAACCGAAGTCCCTCCGCAGACCCAGAGGTTCCAACGGATCCGTGAGAATGGGATTATAATTATCGACAATTCGAACGGCCCTCCTCTGTATGGAGTCAAATGGAAGAAGCTGGTATTTGGGAGCCCCGGCCCAGAGATGGGAGCAGTACTCCACGCGAGGCCATACTTGTGCTTTGTAAAGCAAAAGCCTTTGTCCAAGCGTGAAGTACCGCTTCGCTCTGTTGAGGACTCCCGTTATTCGTTATGTTATAATATGATGTTTGGCGTAAGGTAAAGATGAGTAGTCTTCTTAATTTAGGTCAAGATAAAACCTAAAGCTTTTAAGCAAATTACTTCTCTTCGGTTTTTGCGAATCCTAAAAATCATTAAAAGCAATGTACCTTCCTTCCATTTTGTCCCGTATTTAAGGTTGTACATAGAGTAAGTAGACTTGGAAAATATTCGAAACTTCAGAACTTGTAAAACACAAAAATTATAAGTGAATGGAAATGAACACGTGTGCGCGATTCTCTTTCGAGACGTAGGGATAACTTCGAACAATCAGACCCGGAAAATAAATTTACATAGCTAGCCTCGTGGCCGATCGTATGGTGAGTATGTGCCAACACCTTGGTAACCCGGTATTTTATTTTATAAGAGGCGCTACCATCAGTAATTACACAAATTATAATTTTGCGGATTTGATTATTGTTACACGATGTTATTCCTTCGCCATGGAAGTCAATTGTGAACAATTGTTGAGTACGTATTTCATTAAGAAAAATTGATACCCACCCACCTGGGATTCGAACATCGGTGCATCGCTCAACACGAACGCACCGGACGTCTTACCCTTTAGGCCACGACGACTCAAAAATACATAGAATAGTTAATGTTTAACTGTCAGATATATTAAACAGAATTCCAGACTAAATCAAATGAGGTGTTTTGACACACGAACTCGACGCATCAAGGGCGGTGTCAAGAACATACTTATGGAGCTCGAGCAATGACACCCGAACACATGACACTTGACTGACTGACTCGTTAATTTGTAACAGAAACTTATACCTCAGAAACTTGTATCAAATATATCCATATCGCATGTGATATTAATGACAAGCACGTGAAAATAAATTCAACGTTTTATTGTTTTCTGTTGTTGTTCCTTTACCAATTTCAATCAATTATAAAAACAGGCAAGTGCGTGTCGGACAACGTATGGTGAAATGCTCCCTAGTACATACATACTGGTGGTAGGACCTCTTGTGAGTACGCACGGGTAGGTTACCACCACACTGCCTATTTCTGCCGTAAAGCAGTAATAGAACTTATATCTCAAGATGGGTAGTGAATTTATGTTGTAGATGTATATAGGTTCCAATAACCACTTAACACCAGGTGGGCTGTGAGCTCGTCCACCCATCTAAGCAATAAAAAAATAATAAAAAAAACATCAAAACGAATAAAAAATGGCTGCTTCGAAACGAATACAATAATTGTTGAGATATTGTTATATGCATTCTTAAAACATTTATCTGTTGAACAACAGGGTGAAATATTTGAAGTAGCTTACTCATATTAAATTATTTTCGTCGTGGTTGCCTAACAATGTTTTTGAATCGAGTTAATTAAAATTTAACATAATAATATGTCATCAAAACTTTCCGATGACGAATACGTAAATAAAACTTAATTATATTAAAAGTATAAAAGATAAAAAAAATATATCGCAAAACGACAATAATAAACCCGAGATAAGTCTTGAAAATATGTTTAGTGTACATATGCATGTCGGCATTTTGATTTTATGCTTGTGTAATCAGTGACGAAATACAAAATGACTTTATTTCTAAAATAATATCGTTTTGACTTCGGTTAGTAGATTAACTAAAAACACAGAGGTAATGTCGACTGAAATACTAAGATATAAAACGAGGAGAGTGGCCTAAAAGAAATATTACCTAGTGCTATTCCAAAACCCGGGAACGATTATTGCCTCCTGTTTTCTTTAAAGATAAAAGTATGTAATAAGACTGTAAACGTGGATTTAGTAAACTGGATGTGACAGTTTCTATTGGGCCTTAATGTTATTTACCTGAACAAAAGTGTTTATTTTCTAGAATTTATTTTATTTTTGTTTCAACTGAGAGACAACAACCGTTGCCTGTCATAGAATACTCTCCTTAGGTATTGTTCAGAGATATAGACACGGAACTTCTATATCGGAACATATTTTTGTTTGAAGTATTTTAAAGAGTGTTATATTCAGTATTGTTTCAGGTCATGTGACCTGAATAAGCTATTTATTTAGTTATTTCACTGCGATTTAGCTAGATGTGGGTTTTAAGGACTATTGCATCATGCCGCGACATAGGACCTTCGTTCACAAAACGAAAATGTACCGCCAGACACTCACAGATTAAAAATTATTGACAACGTTCTGAAATAAATACTGAAATAGGGCAAACACGATATCAAATGTCAGTTCTACGGTACATTTCAGGAATAGCATTCCGTCGATACGAATGCTCCCAGTAGATTTATACAGACCTACAAATAGAAGGTTGTGAACTATAAATGAAGGTTCGAACGTCCTTGTCGAATGATTACGTTTTCACGGAAAATATTTGCACTGTTGAGTTTTGATTTAATT